CAAGAACCACCTCCAATGTCGAGAGATTCCAACTATTCAACTGAAAATTGGTATATCATCTACGATTCCCTCTGAGTATCGGTAGATTATCCATGATCTCGGTAGATTTCGACAGTGAATCGCTAGCCGGGAAAAAATCCTGAAAATCAGGAGATCCCGATATATCGGGGTGATTGGCAGCACTGGTTTTGGCACTTGGCTTGCTGAGTTGCTGCCGCACGGCCTGCTTCGATGCCTCGACCGCCAACCCAAAGCCGAAACCCGAAATAAAAGCCGAGCAGGGTCACGGTCTCGGAGGATCGATACCTACGGATCCTACGATGCGAGATAATGTGCCGAAAATTCCGTCCCGCGAGATATTCCGCTGGCGGTTCGATTTTTCGGGTCCTCGTGCTTCGTGCCCCTCCTTCATCTGTTCGCCAATCGCCGCTGACGAATAGAAAGGATACTGGGATACAGTCGAATTGCGAAATTTTCAATTAGCTACCTTCGATTTAGCTACCATGTCGCAGGAATTTTCCTACTCATGTATACAGTGTGTCCCAAATTCGATCCTCACCATTGGGATCTCGGTAACTATGAGAGAGTGAGAAAGATAGGGAGTCGGTTAAATTACGAAAGATTCTGCAAATTCAATGGTGATCCAGAATCCGTCGAGAAATCTAGACTAGCTTAAGCCATTTTTGAGTTATTCAAGAAAAATTGAAAATTTGTATTTTTGTTTTTCTCGAATATCTCGAAAATCATTGATTGTATGATAAAACTACTACAACAATCTAATAATACTTTCGAGTTATCTTCTAAATGGTTTTGTCAGTTTTTGTTGAAAATATCAAATTTCTGAAATATGACCTCCAACTTATTTCATCATTTTCTCTTCTTTTTTCTTTCAAAAATCGACAAAACCATTCAAAATATCACTAAAAAGTGAAGTCGTCTTTTCATACAATCAATATTTTTCGAGATATTCGAGAAAAATTAAAATACAAAATATTAGATTTTCTTGAATAACTCAGAATCAGAAATGACTGAAGCTCAAGATGTCTCGACGGATTCTGAATCACAATTGAATTTGCTGAAAAAGCCGACTCTCTATTAGGCCTGGGAAAAATTATCAATATATCGATAACTATCGATATATCGATAACTATATAACCTTGAACCACAAAAAAATATTCGCCAGTGGCGCATTCTTCGCATTAAGAATTTTTTTTCTGAAGACGCTCCAATTGACTTTGGATAAACTGTATATTAGACTTTAATCTGTAATTATTGGTGTATATTGAAACATCCTGTATTGATTTTCAATCGAAGTAATGTGTTGCATGGGGTGCAGAATATTCATTCAAAAATATATATCCTCAATATTATACAACATTGTACGCAGAAGCAAAGGTATTCACAATTGAGCAATCATTTCATGAGAATGCATTGTAAATGATTTACACATCCCAAGTATTACACGAAATATGAGCACAGCTAGTCAACAAGAAGGTCGATCCAGCTACAAATCCCAATATCACAGAAAAATAGTACCGAAAACAAAATTAAACACCATATTCTAAACTTTTCAAACTGTTGAATATAGACTAACTATAAAAACTTCCAAAAGAACGAAAGTGTGTGATGGGTTTTTTACCGCGCTACGAAATGCCAACTACTTATAAAGGCTGTCCAGAAATTAGCCTGCCAAACCTCACTAGCGGCTTCTACGACCAAAAATAGGAAGAAAAGTTACAATGAATATGAGTTGAGAAATGTCTCCCGAGGGAGCTACGGCCCCCTGAAGATGATATTTCTTGAATATTTCCGAAACGACATGTGATGAATTGATTCGGTACATAAACTAAACTTTCTATGCAAAATTTCATTCAGGAGTGTATAATACAGAGTGTGACTACATTATACAGCAAAATGTTGGAATGAAAAACGCACCCATGGTTTTGTATCAATTATTGTACACAGGTAGAAATTATCCATAAACTAGGCAGAAAACCAGAAATCATTTGTATTTTCATGGTATTTTCTTTCATTCAGATCTTCTGCATGAAATTCAGATCACCTTTGGGAAATGATCCAGGAAAAAATTATTCCAAAAATGTTTCCCATCATTTTTAGTTTCCTTCGGATTTTGACTAAGTATTTTGAATAATTTTTTGAAATGACTAAGCCGTTACTTGATGGAAATTCAAGTGTAGAAACTTCACAAACGATAAGATTTCCACGAATTTCTCAAACACACAACATGTTTCGCTAACACAGTAGCTTCGTCAGGTGATTGTACCAGTATATCATCTGACGAAGCTACTGTGTTAGCGAAACATGCTGTGTGTTTGAGAAATTCATGGAAATCTTATCGTTTGTGAAGTTTTTACTTTTTCTTTTTAATAAATTGCACAAAACAACACTGGCCTGGTAATTTTGAGAGTCTCGCCAACGAACATCAACTTTCAACTTGATGTTCGATGGTCTCGCCTACGAATAATACCGCTCGCAGAACGGCAAGCGAACCCCTATATTTAATAGTTTCGCCCGGTCTGTCGCCGTCGACAAAAAACCCGATCCGGCCACAGCTCCGGATCCGAAATGGAATCCCTCTTAGATCGGCTCGGACTAAAAAATTCAGAGAGTTTGCCGGAGCGCGGGCATCGACCGCCGCGGCACAGCCACAGCATTGCCATTGCCGGCTTCGATTTTCGATTGGGACAGAGGGCTTTGTTTACGGTCGCGGTGAATGGCCCAGATAGGTCTCGTATCGATTCCCTCGCGTATATCTCGCCGACTCCGAATTTATTGATTTCGGCATCATCTTCGCCGGTCGCCGGTTGCTTGCCCCCTTGTCGATCGATAGTAGCGGGCGCTGCACCCCTTCTGTCGTCCGAAACTGCACACAATTACTTTCACTTCTGGGGGTCTATTCTTGAATTTCGAACGAAATATGTCGAATTCGACATATGTCGATAGAAATTGTCGCACAACGTTTAAAGAGCCTATTTATGCATCATTGTCTTAGCCATTGTCTTAATGCATTATGCAAGAATTATGATATGACAATTGACAATCAAAGAATGTAACAGCAAATTACTTAATAAAAAACTGAAAGAATACCTTATGAGAAGATACACTTGAAGCTTGGTTAAGCTTTGAATTGATCTGGCAACATTTGTAATCTTTTTGAGAAATTTCATTACAACGCATAATAATGGTAAGTAGTGACAAATTCTGTGATATAATTAGGCTATTTTCAATACTACACTGTAACCAATGTACCTGACAAAATGTACTCTGTATATATTTTCAGCAATTCTAGTTTTTTTACATGACATGTTTTTTTTATAGTAAGGACCTTTATGAAAATGTAATTTTCCGTGGTTCAATGAAGAAAAAAACAAATTAAATTAAAAAAATCAATCCGTCAAGAGATCCGTCAGTATAGATAGGTACAAAAACAAATTCTATGCACCAAAGATAAAATGTAGTCTACTTTCACCAATCAATGCCATGATTTGTGACTTTGATTCCAAGGAATTCTCTATTTATCTTTGTATTTTGAGTCTTTCTTGTCCCGAAGATGGGGAAATTTCTCTACCAAATCTACTAGGGTTCCTTCTTCCAGGCTCATGATTTTTGATATTTGTTATTAAATGTCGAGTCCGACCACGATAACTTTGGGACAGCACGTGGTCGCGTATGCATTGGATATGCATATGCGTTGCGTCACATGCTGTCCCAAAGTTAACGTGGTCGGACTCTAATCAAATTATCAGAATGATGTAATCAATTATTGATACAGCACAGAATGGCACTGATTTTTTGGTAACAAATTAAGTCATTTGTGAATTTTTCAGAAAAAACTCGATTTTTCATTGATTATTCAAAATCCTTTTCGCTGATTTTGATAAAACTTGTCACGCTCATCTGCAGTAGCAATAGGGTTCAGTGAATTCAAATTTACCACTATTTTCTCCAATTATTACTTTCTTACTACCCTACCTGAGTTATAACTCAGAATTTTGAAGTTTTTATTTATTTATTTATATAATATTTTTTTCTATTTTTCAAAAAATTACTCATATTCATATTCACGATATATTAACGGTATTTTTATCAAGAGAAAAAAAACAACACGCGAAAATTGAATGGCGCAATGAGGCCTTTCCACAGCCCTAAACAGAAGTTCAACAGGGTGATCTATAATATGGCAAAATTTTGTAGTTCTGTGTTAATATTTGAAAAGAGAGGGGAGAAATGAATAAAGTGACCTACTTTCTACTTATTACAAGCGTACATCCAATCTGACAGATGTTTCATTATTATTTTTTGAAATATTGACGCCTCGATTGACGCTTAATTTTGAGCTCGATTTTGAGGCATTTTTATTGAATTCGTAATTCGAAATCCAATTTTAATATACCGAGAAAGAATTAATATTTCTATTATATAGAGAATGCGACTTCTCAATCTATTTCTTTATATGTATCTTTTTTTTCATGTTCATAAATATTTCTTTTCAATAATAGTCTTCGAATTTCAACTTCATGAGAGTCAAATTATGTGAAATTTGTCAATGATTTCAGAAATTCTCGAGGGCTCATTGTATTCTTCACTATTTATTCCCCGATTCATTCATAAACGCAGTGAAGTAAGCTATGCAAAAAATTCGACAATCTTGACAGTTCAAAATCACTTGTATGATATTTAATGGTAACGTGAAGGTTATTATGTTAAGGCCTCGGTTAAGGCATCATTATGGTTACTTTTAAATGTAACAACACAATACAAGCATGAACAATTATTACTTTGAAGTTACACCACTAATATCACACAAGCAAGAAAATACATACAATATCAATTATATCAACATCAGGCTATGAAACGTTCAACAGATATCGAATTGATAGACTCGAGTCGGAATTTTCGATCAATTCAATTCAATTGAGATATCGGATAATACCTAATGATCATGAAAATGATAATAGTTTTTCTTTTGTTCGACTTACCTGATGGTTTCCACAATTTCTATGGCCCCATCATGTTTGTCCTGAAAAAAAAAACAATTTCAAACTGGGGAAAGAATTTTCTTTTTTCTTGATGTAACAGGTTGGTGGTTCTGGAGAACATGGTATTTCTCTACATCCCTCATCTGAGGCACAGCATTTTAATCAAATGGGTATAATATAGGGAATGATGTCTCAGATGTGATCAGCCATAAAAAGATTACATAAAGCCATAATCAGGAAAGTGAAATTAATTCCAGATGTTCAAGAGGAAATACCTAGTATCGGACTCGGTACCGGAGCAACAATTTTCGACCTTGAGAGATTCAAAATAATTATTTTCCCACGTGGTGAGGAAATTCCTGAATACCCGGTAGAAGCAAAATGGCCGGAAAACGATAATAATTAATTGTTCACGGTGTGAAATTAGCTGGCAGTTATTCTGTTGGCGTGTGTCAGAGTCAGATGTGATGAGTCATTTTTACTTTTGAATATTCTATTTAAAATTCCATCGAATAAATGGCTTGAATGAAGGACGAAAACCTCGACGAAAACCATTGGCAGATTATCAAAAACTTCCATTTGTTGTACGGTTGGTACGAGTTCAGACGTAAAATCAAAATGAGATGTGACAAAAGAATGAATCGGACAATAGAACGAGTGCTTGACCCCATTTGATTATACACTAATAAACTTTTTTTTCCTCTACACTCAAGTTTTACAATACAATAGCGAGACCTCCTCCATTTTCTTGAAGAGAAGATTAAAAATAGAATGAAGGTAAGATGGGTCACCTGGTTATATATTTTCAATGAGTTCAATGAGTGAAAAAATACGAACATTGACACAATTAATATATACCGACAGGAAACTGGCATACAACAAGGAAAATGTTATGTTAAGAAAATTTCAAGTAGATACCTATATAACCAATAAATTAGCTGAACCCACACTATTACACATCTTTATCTACTTTCTCAAACTCTAAGCATGCTGAATCTCTCATCTCTCCTATTTCCGGTATCGCGTACTATACTATACGTTCAAGCAATGATTCCATTCATACAATTTTCTATCTAAATGAAGTATAGCGACCGCATTATATCCTAGAGAAAGCTGTACTATTTCAGTGGTAATTCCTCGGGTAATTCAGCAATTTGTTTTGTAGCGAGGTTGAGCTATAAGGATACCTACAATGATACTAAAAATAGCACCTATTTTTTTCACCTCAAGTATATGGGTCAATAAAACTGAAATTATAAACACCACAACGATGCCCTACAAACGAGAGGAAGTGTTATTTGTTCAGGTTACCTACTCAAGTTATACCTTCAAAGAGACGTCAAAACATGTGTTCTCTCAAATTAGGAGATGACTGGAATCTGGATTTAGCTGGAGTGAAGGCATTCCTATATTTACTCTTCACATTCCCAAATAAAATACCGTGATCATCGATTGATGGTTTTTACATATTTTTTATCTTCATTGAATATATTTCACTATCAGAAGGTAGCACCAAAACTACTTGGGACAACCATAAAACAAGTTGATATCTGTAGAAATAAAAGGAAACCGACAGGAAATGCACAGTCCTCACGTGTGAAATATATTTTTAACTACAAATCGAAGACTACCGGGTTCTGTATTTCTTTGGCTTGGAAAAATTCAACAACATCTATCATCTGTCAGAAAATCACTATATTTTTTTGGGATTTGCTCTGCTTGTCTCTATTAATAAAAATATTAGTATTATTACAATATACCTGTACTGTACCTGTAGCAAGGAGAAATCAGATGATTTGACCCAAAATGTAATTGTGCTTAAAATTGCTCTATTAGAAACCTGAGAGAAATATAAAACGTGTTGGTGGTAAATTACAAGAAAAAACTGTGTTCAAGAGTGAATGAGACCAATTCATACTCAAACAAAACTAAAAAATTAGGAACAATCATTGAAAAATTGTATATACAGCATACCTTCTGTTTGTGGACAACTTTTGTCACTGAGAAATGTCAAAATAAAACACGAATAGATCCAGCTCAAGAGTTAATATCCTTCTCTATGTTGAAAACAGGAACAGATTCGATCCCGAAGTCCGAAGATAAGTGGAATTTTCTATTTTTTCAATACACCAAGCTAAATCATTTTCTTCTTCGAACATTTTTCAAAACAAGGTGTAACAGACTATCCGTTTAATTTTCATCTTGGGTTCCTAATAGTGAAATGTTTAAGAGCAGTGACATTTTGGGGCAAATCACCTGATTTGTCATCCCTACAGGTGTATTGAAATAATAATAATACACATTTCAAGTCATGGAAACCATAAACCATCCATTCTCAAAGTGGTCCAGTATTTTTCAAAAGGAGAAAAAAAAAAACAAACTGAAAGTCATTTTATTTCAAGAGACGAGGAGAAAATAACAAAAATTAAGAAACAGGAATATTCCACCTGCTCGATTAACCTACAGACAGTATTGGAGATATAATGAAACAAGAGAAATAGGAATGGTCGATTTGTAGTAAAACGAATAAAAATGTTCAAACAACTGCTGTAACCATCTGTACAAGAACAGGAGCTGCAAGCACCAACCATCTGTATCTGTATAGAAACAAACCCGCATTGGGTTGACACATCTTATAAAAACTGAAATTAACATGGCGCGTGCCTCCACAAGCATCAGCTAGACACCTGCTAGGTACCTTGTCTGTCAAGATATGCACCTACCTTCATAATATTCTACAGGGTCATGTTCAACAAACGACAGAAAAGAACAAACTTACGAAAGACCCATACAAATAGCGAGCATTTTCTAAAAACCTTCACACATTTTGGAAATCAGAGGAAATTTCAAAATGGTCCAAAATATCAAGCAAGTCTATCTGGCTAGACAAATAAGCGGACAAAGATTTAAAATAACTACAAGGTATTTTCGATCTAATCCAACCTACCGAAATTAATTCTGAGAAATATATTATGCAGTTCTATTTCGGTTGGTTTCAAATATAGAAAATCTTTGCGTGAGAAGTAACAAATTCCTCAGAAAATAACTGATTCATTAGGGGCGAAAAATTGTAAGTCTGAAATAAATATTGTTGGTCTAAAATTAGATCCCACCAGTTTCAACACATGAATTTGCGTCCTCATACAATAATTGAAATGATAATTTGAAAATCTGTAGTACCTTTCAAATACAGTGTGATGGTGATGGATATGACAGTTTTGGCGGATGTTTTGGTAGAATTCACAATTCTCACTGGCCTATTATACCAATTATCAACACATGTTAGTATTGAGTGTTTATAAAAGTACCTGAGCTTTTTTTCACTTTTTGTCATGAGTATTGCAAATGCCTTTTTTTGCAGAAGTTTACAGTGTACCAATACTTACAATGAACAAAGTACCTAACATCGTACCTATCTTAATTTGATGAAATACTGAAATACTTCAAGTATCAAGAAGGGAACAGTTTAGATAGGTAGGTACCTAGTCAATTATCAACTGTTTAGAAGGAAGGTTGTTAATCAATAAATATACCTACCTGAATAAATTAGTTATTCACCTTGCAAACGAGTAAAAATAGGAAGTTCTTGACTCCAAATAGTGTATTTCCACCTAAACAGTTCTCTGTTTATTTGCTGAATATATAGATAGTGTTGACATTATATCAGCCTGGCAAAGCAATGAAGGTCATTTTATAAAGTCTGATTACTTATTATCTTGACAATATCGATATCTGTTTTTCATGTTCTTTTTTTTTAGAAACTATAGAACTTCTATAGACTAGGTAAGTATTATATAGGTATAAAAATGAATATTTCATTTAAAAGTTTGAATCACAGCCAAAGTGTATTCATTACTCTCATTAGCATTGAGTTCCATAATCTGTAGATAACAAGAAAATTATGTGATGACAAAATATAAAATATCTACATACTAATTATTTCAGTACCTACTGAAACAGTAATGCATTATATATACATACCTATCCTCCTTCAAACTAAATTAAGCTTTTGGCTAACTAGGTAGGTAATAAAAAATATGAAGGATAAAACTCGGGATAAAATAAGAGTGGTAAATGACAAAAAAACTGACAAAATATTAAAGATTTTAGAGATTCTACATTTTATCTGCTATTCTTGCCATTCTACCTATCAAATCAAAATGAATATGTTGATTTTTCGGTTCATTTCGATAATTTCCTCTGCTGGTCAAAAGAATATTGATGCTCACAACATGAAGTGTATGGTTGAATTGGCCCAATCAGCACATAGGTAGGTCATAATAATATGAAAATAGCCTATTTGACAATTGGATTCTATGGAGTTATTCACCTATGGAATCCTAGTTTCAGTATTGTGAATTTGTTTACATATTCATGATTAAAAGTTGTTTTATAGGTTGTTATCCTTTGTGTATTTTATTCTGATTCAAGAAAAATACCTCAGTTGTGTAGGTAGCACTTGAAGTGTGATTGGTATTTTATTCCTTACCTAAGTACCCACCTTTAACCTACTTGTTGTTTCTGAGAGGTTATGAATATTTCGTGATATATTCTAGGTATTGTTGCAGGAAATATAAAATCATCACCTATGGATAGAAGGTACCAGGTTGTGGTATTTATAGAAATCACATTTTTCGTTGAAATTATAAGGTGGGTATTTTTAACTTTTCTGGCAACTAGAAACCAAAATAATCTATCATTGATTCGAATATTTACCCACCACAAGAATTGTAAACAAATATGATTTCTGCACAATGATTTTCTAGGAGAAACTAACGGCTAGCTTGCTTCGAATTTTCACTATTGAGCGAAAATGAAGTCGGTACCTAGTTTTAAAGTACCGTTGGCTTTTCCTGTCTCTGGTAGAATGATAACAGCTTAGAATAACAATGACACTTCACGATTTATCGTTGAAAAATTCGATTTGTTGCGATATATAGGTCTCCAAAGATAGATCTTTTGACTAAAGATGAAAAAAGTGTGAACTTACGTTTCCTCGACCAGAGGTTAACGGCCAGGTATATAATACGGGATCAGCCCCAGCGGGGGAATGCAATTTCAATTCCATCATTCCAAATTCAACTGGCGTTAGCTGAATGAAAACTCATCACTTGAAAATTCCACCATTTGAACTATTAGAACCTACTACATAACACCCCAAACACACATTTTTCACAGGAGTTTATAGATCCCACACAGCAAAACACGCCATCGCTAAGCCTGAGCGTACACCTTGCGCGCGCAACTTTCTTTGCAGTGGTACCACCATTACCACACCAAAATCATTCTACGTCAATTCAATTTTGACAACGCACAGAAATAATCGCCTTCCGCCAGGACGGTGTTGCCAGTTGTCAAATTTCAGCAACTATTTACTGAATTACTCCTATACAGATTCCTCAACCTTCAAGGTATAAAATAAACTATAAATAAACGTATATATTTCCCATTAATCTTTAGACCTCTGCATATTCGTTTATGAAAGTCAGAAAAATCATAATGTGAACGATCAAAAAAGGTTTCCTCGAAATCAATCACAATAGATTGAATACTATACATGGACAGAAGTGAATATGGCAACCTTACAGAATAATCACGCTATCCCACATGCTATTCCACCATAGGTTATCAATAATATCTTCCTCACGTAGGCCTCTTTCCGTTTATTTCCTATTCCAATTTATTTCACTATGCAACCCATGCAATGCAACAATTGCACTTTGTTCTTGCATCTGGCTACGAAATGACATTAGATTTTACTTTTCGGATATTGGGCCAAGGTCTTTTGTTCGAAACATTGAATTGAATATATATTTTTTTAATTTGGCACCAATGGCACCACTGGGGTTCAATGAACGCGTTAACATTTTTAAATAGTAGATATGTACAATGATTCTATATCATTTTATCCCCAATAAATATTGTGGGTACAAAAAATGCAATTGGTAATCTTGTAAGCAAGAGTATCGATCTTTTCTCTTAGGACAAATAACAAACAAAATTGACGCGTTCTTTTGAATGCACCTTGCACAACCAATTTTGTTGGTTTATAGGTAGTTATTCCGATTAATTCACCAGGAATCATTATCAAATCATTTCAATCCAGAGAAAGTTTTCACAACAGTGGTTCGTTAAAAATTATCAATTATTATTAGGAATGTTCACTTGCACACCCATTATCATTAATCTATTTTTTTCTATCATCAATATTTAATATTAATATCCCAACAATCACATATTTCTATCAGCATCAGCATATTCCATTTTCTATTAGAAGAAATTTGTGGAGTTTTCATGCACTGATTGATTGTATAGTATAGTTATCTTTGTTTAACACACATATGCAAGTAAGGATAAAAATACACAGACATTCAGACAGTTTACCCAGTGGAACTTCCCCATATCATGTCTGTGGGCGTTTGTCATCCGTCAGTGGTCACTTAGCCACTTTTACACCAGACCTACCAACTATAACAAATAAAAAGATTTCGTATTTCGTGTGTAGTCGAATCACTCGAATCGTGATATTTCGATATTTTTGATATTCGTATCGTATACGTGTGAAAAATAACAGTTTATAACATGAATGTATATAAGGTTAAGATTTATGATAAATGTATAGAGGATAAAACGGCCACTTTAATGTTGTACAAATGAGATGAATATTCTACTTATAGTGATATCGATCCTTTTATCTGTGATATGCGTTCTGCTAGCTTTATTTCAACACTATTACTTCATCAATAAGCTATACAAGAGACCTTCTTTGAAGTATGATGTACCTGTATTCGATGACTTGATACCATCAAAAGAGAACAAATTTGAAAACAACCTGAACTACCCCCTGCAGCAGATAGACGATCATGATTCTGATATTGTGTTGAATGATTTGAATTCTGTATTAGAATCTCGACCACAGCAGAAAGACACTATAGGATATATTCTGAAAAATGACAAGGCTACAGGAACAGATTCAGAAGTCTACAATACACTTCAGGCTGCTATTGCATTCAAGTTATCAGGAAAAAGCCTCAAGGCTTTGAAATTGTTTGAACATGCTGCAGCTATAGCTCCTGAGAATGCTGATGTATTGAACAGATATGGGGAATTTCTAGAACAGCAACACCAGGATGTTTTAACTGCTGATGAGCTTTATTTTAAGGTCTGTTAATATTTGATAAATGTATCAAGTGAGAATGACAATACTATTTTCAGGCCCTAACTCACTCTCCTAACCATGAAGCTGCCCTCACAAACCGTAAACGCACAGCTCCAGTAGTTGAAGGTTTAGATTATAAGCTTTTCAAAGATATAGACAAGAGAAATGATTTTCTCAAGAATAGAGTGAAATTGGGTGGATTTGAAACTGTCAAGAAACAGGCATATTATTTACATATTTATCACACTGTAAGTACTAATAACACTAATTTACTAAGCTCATCTCTCAAGTATTGGAAAAATTATTTTATATTTAGGTGGGTATAGAGGGCAATACAATGACAGTAGAGCAACTGAGATACCTTTTACAAACAGGACAAGTAGTCAGTGGAAAGAGCCTGGTGGAACACAATGAAGTTTTGGGGATAGAAAAGGCTATGCAATATATCAAACTTTTAGTGAGGGCAGATTATATAGGCATCAAAGAAATATTGGGAATACACAGGAGGGTTATGGGTCATGTAGATCCTATTGCATCAGGAGTTTTTAGAGATGAAAAGGTGTGTTACTCATGAAATGATATTGGTCAATTTTTCACTTTGATTGTTTAGGTATTTGTTGGAAGTCATATACCTCCTCCTTATGAAGACATCCCTGATCTTATGGAAAACTATGTAGAATGGTTGAATTCTGAAGAAGCTCAAAATATGCATCCTGTGCGTTATGCTGCACTGGCTCATTACAAACTAGTGGATATCCACCCATTTGTTGATGGAAATGGACGCACAAGCAGATTGATCATGAATATGATTCTTCTGAAAGCTGGTTATCCCCCTGTTATGGTACTTAAAGAACAGAGGTAAACATTCACTAGGCAACTGAAGAGCAGTATTGTTTGTATTCTTTGTTTTTCAGGGAGACATATTATGATTCATTGAAGACTGCCAACATGGGAGATGTCAGACCTTTTGTTAGATTTGTAGCTCAGTGTACTTTACAAATTCTTGACATGTACATCTATGGCACAAGGTTTTTGTCTCTAGAGGGAAATTCAGAGGAAGGTAAAAAAATCATAACTTTTGAGTAGGTATTTTTTTTCCAAAATGTGATAAGAGGGATGTTGAAGTTGCCATTTCATTGCCTATGAGATTATGAAGGATGTCATGTCATCTATTTTATATTCATTTTGAAATGTATAATTTATATTCACCTTCCATGATCTATCTAGTATGTTTTGTAAGTATTCTTGTTATTTAGTGATTTGGCAATATTTATCATCTGTTTATGTGATACCTTTACAAGTGATGGGCTGAATTAAATATTTTTTTTATCAATCCCATCACTAACATTTACCAGGCTTCCCAATTTCAGAAAGTTGAAATTACAAATACTACATTCTAGATATCCTCAATTGATTTATTTTCAGGTTTATTTGGATTTTTTTCAAAACTATTTTCAAGAGAAATATCTGGATGAGTCCTGTAAAATTATGTAGTTCTACTTATTTATAATTTATTTATTCAAGCTGTTGAAAATAAATATATTTTTGTTGAACTGATTTAGTTTGATTGTCCCTTCAGAATTTATTGAAACATGCAATTTGTCATGAGAAAATGAAAAAAAATCGATAGATCGATCTCTATTGTTCCACCTGTTTTATTCATTTTTTTCAAGTCAATTGAGAAATATGTCAGCCTCTATAAATGTCTCTCGCAAGTAATTCAATTGGTAGCATGCTGCTTCTTGTGAATTATTAAGATGCCTATATTGTGAATAAACAAGCAAACACATGACATATCTTCTTTCTTCATAGTTGCTACTTTTGAAAAGCCCTGTAGCTCAGTGGTCTGTGTGTCTGACTATTACGGCGGTGGCTCTCTTTCAAGTTTCTGCAAGGTGTCAATTTTTTTTCACAAGTAATTTCTCGAAAAATATACTTTTCAGAAAAAGGATCATCCAGGACAAGTTCGGTTGAAAGAAGTCACCTTTTTCATGCAGAAACGATATTTTCATTCCTCATAATACCTTATCAGGACAGCATGCTACTACTTAAATGACTGGCGAGAGACGTTTATCAGCCTATTTAAAAAGTGCTTTAAACGAAGACTTGCTCCATCTATGATCGATTTTGTCAAGGAATTGGGTTTCTGGAAGTTTCCATCCAAGGCTATTTACCTATATAGTTTCCATTTTGTTTCCATCATCCAGTAGCATTCTACAACAAGAACATGCTATTGATAGTTGTCTATTCTAATGCCTAGTAGATATTATATCGATAAAATATAATACAGGATGTTCATTCACCCCATCATATATTAATTTATTTTCCTGGTAGATCAATGGCAATGAATCAAAAGTAGGTAGGTAGCTCTATATTAACTCGCAGCATGCTACTACTTAAATGACTGGCGAGAGACGTTTATCAGCCTGTTTGAAAAGTGCTTTAAACGAAGACTTGCTCCATCTATGATCGATTTTGTCAAGGAATTGGGTTTCTAGAAGTGTCCATCCAAGGCTATTTACCTCTATAGTTTTCATCATCCAGTAGCATTCTACAACGAGAACATGTATTGATGGTTGTCTATTCTAATGCCTAGTAGATATTATACCGATAAAATATAATACAGGATGTTCATTCACCCCATCATATATTAATTTATTGGCCTGGTAGATCAATGGCAATAAATTAAAAGTAGGTAGGTAGCTGTATATCAACTCGATTTTTCATAAATTATCAAATACTTCCCATTTGAACTTGGTAAATAATAATATGAAAACAGTATCTTATCACATTGCCCCTATATTGTATTATTGTCCACTAGACAAAGCAATATTCGATAAAACAGATAATAGCTGGGGTCAATTTGAATTGCCAGGTCAAATTTATTATTGATATAACTAGAAAGCTGAATTGGAGTCTATTCAGTAGGTAATTACGATGATGAGACTGTCAGTTATCTTGATTTGCTTTTCTACCGTAATTTTTGCGGAAGAATTCGAATATCTGTACAGTACCAAATACATTGATGTCCCCTTGGATCATTTCAAGTAAGTAAAATCAATGAAACTTGCGAAGAAACTTTTATAGTTAAACCCTCTAGTGGGGTCAGGGAATCAAATTACCAGCACTATATTTGTGTGATTTTTTAGCTTCAGGTCCAATGCGACTTTTAAACTGAGGTACCTTATCAATGACACTTATCATGTGCAAAGAGGTCCGATATTTTTCTACACTGGAAATGAAGGTGATATCAACCAATTTGCCCAAAATACAGGGTTCATGTATGACATTGCTTCAACATTCAATGCCTTACTAGTTTTTGCAGAACACAGGTAAGTAAATTATAATGCTATCAAAATATTGACACCAAGAACATTAGTTTTTTAAGCAATAATTATACAGGATGTCTGTGAAAGAGGTCGCGATTTGTTAACCATCGCACTTCTTTGATGAATATAACGAAAATCGAAGTGTCAAAGTTTGAAACTGTTTTTTTTTAATTACCCGAGAATTCGATATTTCAAAATTGTTACCGTGCTTCAAAAGTAGGAGGAAAACAAAATAAAAAACAATTATTGGAAGAAGAAGGGGTTGTAGTAGCCATACAACTGACCCCTCTGATTTTCAGTAGGTACCTGCAACAGCGACTTTTTTTGTGATGAGCCCCACAGGCCCTTTTTTTGGAATTTCGAAAAAAACTCAACTTTTTCATTGGAGAAAACTTGGTTATATACTTTTTTCACACATATAACATTTTAGCATCTCGATTATTTTCCTATCTCACTTTCTTCAAGGGGAATAATGAGATAATCAGATAAAACGTTTTATAAGAGAACTAGAAAAAACTTAATTTCGTTGGAAGAAAAGTAACTACACTTTGTAAGATAGAAAAAAATCAATAATATATATACCTACCTATTATTGAAAATTATCATTGGTTTATTTGAAATAGATGAAGAACATCTACTGGATGTCTTATTTATTTTCCATAAAACTTCATGCACTTCGTATTTTGAAAATTTATTATAATGTTTCTCATTTTTATGAATGGAAATTTTTCCTTGATTTCGTCACTCGAATTCAGGAACATCCTGTGACAGATGAACCGACTAGCCCTCTTTTCAATTACAAGAATTCAATATGTTTTTGACGAATCGTTTCCGAGATTTTTTCGCGAGAAAACTGATGAGCCCACCAAATTTTTATCTAAAAAATCAAATTTATTTTTCACAATCGATTTAATGTCAGATGATTATAATATAATGATCCCCTGTTTTCAGTACCTGCAACAGCGACTTGCCAGCTATATTTTTGTGGTAATCATTTCACCTGAGTTTTATAGAGATTCTGGTTTGTTTTTTCGCACGAAAAATTACATTTTGTTGATTTTTACATTGTTTCCATTGTAATAGCTGAATGATAACATAACTTCTTGATATCTGGATCACTTTCTTATCACGCACTTTGTTTTCGAGGAAAAAGAGCAGATAAGTTTCTTAAGAGCACTAGAAACACTTATAATTTTGTTGGAAGAAAATTAACTACATTGTAAGATTGAAAATAATCAAGATATCAATTGACAATGATGTTTTTTATTGGTTTATCTAAAACAGTTGAAGAAAATTTACTAAATAATGTTAACCTTTTGAAAACGAAACATTTTTTTCTATTTTTGACATAGGTACTTAGAAATCGATGCAAAATTCAAAAATGGAAAAATAAAAGATGTTGTCAATTGGAAAATGAAGTTGTCGGTCATAACTAACATATGTTCGGTGGCCCAGGCTCTCGCGGACTTCGTCTACCTCATCGACGACCTCAAAAGTGTACCGCTGATTCGGCGGCTCGTACACTTAGGAGTCCATGCAAATTTAAAAAATTGAAAATAACAGATGTTTCAAATTGGAAAAATGAAGTTGTTGGTCGTAACTTCTTTTTGGGCTCAGTGCTCATATCTACGGGGGGATAATAAGGGGGATATATGGGTAGTAGTTTTTGTTGGAGAGCATATGCTCAAATCAACGATAATGATAGAGTACGGCTTCAACATTATCAGCAGATGGAACTGCTGGAAGTGTTTCCTCTTTACAGCTGAATGAAAATTCCGCATCTATTTCGTCCAATAAACATTTAAAATCTCAGGAACAAATCCATTCAGAAAATATTGGAATTTTTTACACGGTGCAGTATCAGTTACATATACAGGGTGTTCCAGAATTGCTGGGACACATAGCTACCACGTGTAATAGAGGTCAAAATAAGTTGATTGGACCCACTTTATTTTCATTCCAAAATGTATACAGTTTGCCCATGGAAAGAGTTCAAAGTTTGCATAAAACACATTTTTGTATGCTGCTTAGAAATGAGTAAAACATATTGAATGACATTTGACAAAAGTGCATTTAAGAGGATTGCTCTCCTTACTAAAAGAAGCCCAAAAGAAATTGAAGAAGGTTTAAAAACCTCACCCACTGGCATTTTTTTCAGAACATCCTTAGGGGTGGTAATATGATTCTCAATTATTTTAATTTTGTAACTCTTGTAAAAATTTCGTATTCAGAATAGCTATGAAGAAAAAAACAGTTTCTCTTAAATAATGCTCCTAGATATATATATTTCCCAGTAATTTTGGGACACTCTGTATATCTTCTGATATTCCTACTTGATATTTCTAAAATCCTTAACTCAAGCCGAAATCAAAATGTGACACGAACATATTTGAATAAATATTTGGAAATCAAGAGCCAAGGCGCCAAGGTTTCATTCTGTAATGCTCAAAATTATTGTAGTTACCAATAATCATAAATCTAAATGTGTTAAAAACGGTTCACTTTTGGGTATACGCCACCAAAAAATTTAAATCGACGGGCCCGAGCGTTTTCTCAAATAAGTTAATTTTAAATAAATTTTAACATTTTTTCTGCAAAAATACATACTGAAATCGGGTCATCTTTAAAATATCGGTTATTTTGGACGAATTTTATTGATTCACAGGGTCGTATTCGATACTCATCTACAGTGTGGCCCACTTCTAATGGAAACACCCCTGTATCTTACGTAATCGTTGGGTAAGGATCCTGAAATTTGCTGGAGCGTGAGATATACCAAAAATGCACTCTATGACCAAGTGGGGTCATCTTCAGTGATATACACTGCTCGCCAACAGCCATGGACCCGCCCCAATTTCCGGAAAATGATATTAGGAGTCAAACGAGGTCGAAAATATCTTCAGATTCGGAATCAGAACGCCCAACCCACTAACTTTTCATATTTTTTCTGTAAAATTTTCAGTTCTGAAAAATTCAATTTTGTCGCACGTTTTACGGAAGCACCCTTGTATCTTACGTAATTGAGTTAATCTTAGGACTTTCCCTTCCTCCTGCAAATTTCAGAACCCTACCTCAATCATTACGTGAGATACGTGGGTGCTTCCATGAGAAGTGAAACAAAACTTAATTTTCCTTAACTGAAAATTTTCTAGGAAAGCTATAAATAGTTAGAGAATTGGGCGTCCTGATTCATAATCCGAAGTGATTTTCAACCTATTTTGACTCCTAATATCATTTTCCGGAAATTGGGGTGGTTCCATGGATGTTGGCGAGCAGTGTATATCACTGAAGATGACCCCACTTGGTCATAGAGTGCATTTTTGGTATATCTCTCGCTTCAGCAAATTTCAGGATCCTCACCCAACGATTAAGTAAGATACAGGGGTGTTTCCATTAGAAGTGGGTCACACTGTATGAGGAAAAGAGTGAATAATCGGGTGATTTCCAGGTACTACGGAACTTCCTTACCATTCGGCAACCTGTCCTACACCACCCCCGAGTACCTCGGCTACCTCTCCTCCGCCCAAGCCCTCGCGGACTTCGCTTACCTCATCGACGACCTGCAGAGCACCTACGCCGCCACTAGCGACCTCAAAAAGGTGCCGGTGATCGCGTTCGGCGGCTCGTACGGAGGTATGCTGGCCGCGTACCTCAGAATGAAGTACCCGTACGCCGTCGCGGGCGCCGTTGCCAGCTCGGCTCCGATCTGGCAGTTCCGGGGGCTGACCCCGTGCGAGAACTTCAACAGAATTGTGACGAACGTGTACGAAGCTCTGGGAGGAGTGAAGTGCAAGGACACCATCGCGAAGTCTTGGAAAATAATCAGGTGAGAAATTCATGCATGGATTGTAAGAACACTGAGGAACAACGCAGCAAACACAGTTACATCACCGATCCCAGTAAACACAAACATCCCTGGGATGTCACATTCATATATCGCTAGGTAACAATGCGAATTAAAACAAAACATCATTGGTATTGCAAGGGGACTCTTTACTTTACAAAACATTCACAATATTGTGATGTCCTCTTATATCTCTGTGTTAATAACTGAGATATATCGCAGAATGTAACAATTGTGACTTGTGATATCGCATTCTATGTTGTATGTTGAGGGATGTTATTTTGTTCCAGTCAAGTTTCATCTATGCGACGTCTGCGATATAACAATGATATATTTTATGCCATGTTATTGCGATATGTTATTTGTGATGGAAAAGCGATGTGTTTTTGAACGACAAAAAAAAGTTCCTTCAATCATGGTGTGCTAATATGTTCGCAAGCTATTCGTTTCTGAGATACAGTGTCAAAGTTTGTTTATTATGAATTAATTCCAGGATAATCGTAATTTTTTAGTAAAATTTGATATCTAAGGGTATTTTTCGATGACAAAATCAAATTTGAAGTTTTCGAGTTTTCTCCATTCTCCACAGATCCCAGAAATTCCAATATCAAACAACAGAAACCGAATTAACGAACTTTCGACAGATTCACCAAATCATGAAAAGTGTATAATTAAGATTTTTTTTTAATGTAGTCAAAGTATTTGTGTGAAAATAAACTACTTAATCTTCAATAGAAATGCACTGAAAATACATAATATGTCAACAATGAATAAGCAATAAATGCGTTACTAAAAGTGAACGGGTCATATTTGTGAATTAGCATTGGAAAATGCCAATATCATTCCAATATGATAACTGGGGTGACTCAAACTCGATCTTATCTCATTTTCAGATCTCTGACTGAAACTGATGAGGGAAAATCAAATTTGACGAAACTTTGGAACTTTTGCACGCCTTTGAAAACGTCAGACGACATCGATACTCTGGTCGATTGGCTGACCAACATCTACGTGAATGTAGCAATGGTGAACTACCCCTACCCCACAAGTTTCTTGGCAGATCTGCCAGCGTATCCAGTCCGAGCTGTTTGCAGCAAAATCAACAATTTCGATTACAAAAACGACTTCGGCTTACTTCAGGCTCTAGGAGAAGCCCTTAGTGTTTATACGAACTACACGGGACGTACCACCTGTAATGATATCAAAGTAGCTGCGAACATTGGAGAAAAAGGATGGGATTTCCAGGTGATCAAAATAATCCATTTTAATATATAGGGTGTCCCGAAATTATATATACACAGTGTGACACCCCTGTATCTTACGTTATCGTTGTGTAAGGATCCTGAAATTCGCTGGATCGGAAGATATACCAAAAATGACCAAGTGGGGTCATCTTCAGTGATATACACAGCTCGCCAACAGCCGTGGAATCACCCCAATCTCCGGAAAATGATATTAGGAGTCAGAATAGGTTGAAAATCACTCCGGATTTGGAATCAGGACGACCAATTCACTAACCATTCATATTTTTCCTGGAAAATTTTCAGTTCTGAAAAATTAAATTTTGTCGCACTTTTTACGAAAGCGAAGCATCCTTGTTTCTTACGTAATTGACTTTATCTTTGGACTTTCCCCTTCCTCCTGCAAATTTCAGAACCCATCCTCAATAATTACGTGAGAAGTGAGACTTTTTCTAAACTGAATATTTTCTAGGAAAACTATGAATAGTTAGAGAATTGGGCGTCCTGATTCCGAATCCGAAGTGATATTCAACCTATTGTGACTCCTAATATCATTTCCCGGAAATTGGGGTGGTTCCATGGCTGTTAGCGAGCAGTGTATATCACTGAAGATGGCCCGACTTGGTCATAGAGTGCATTTTTGGTATATCTCTCGCTCCAGCAAATTTCAGGATCCTTACCCAACGATTACGTAAGATACAGGGGTGTTTCCATTAGAAGTCGGTCACACTGTATATAGAAAGATTTCATCTGCGGATTCTAGGTGTTATACATATAGCCATTTGAAGGTGATCAAGAGATGTAGTTTTTTCGAAAATATTCTCGAAACACTTCCTGAAAAAATAACCAAATTTTGTACATGCTTATTTTGTGCCCGATTTGAGAATAAGAAAAATATTTTGATATCTTGTTCAGTGGCGTGAGAAATAGTCGGGGCTAGAAGCATTTTTCCACAACTTTCTTTTTTACGCATTATGGCTTCCGTAATCAGAGATCAACTGGTGACCTGCTCGCTTACGTCTCACATATATGGCAGCAATCTATTGAAAAATATGGTGAAACCTCAGCCATGGCACTCGATATCTCCAAGGCATTCGATCCAGTCTGGCACCACGGACTCCTCGTCAAGCTTCCATCTTATGGCTTGCCTCCCCAGTTATGTTCTCTTATAGCTAGTTTTCTCTCAAACAGGTCTCTCCATGTAGTAGCACCAACACTATTTCTACTCCATATCAACGATTTGTTGGAAGCAACTTTATGTCCAGTACAGAGCTTCGCGGATGATAGTACCCTCCATACCGCCTTCTCTTCCAGGGCTCCAATACCAGCCAGGCAAATCAGAAACGAACGAGGGAGAAATGTTGACAACATAAATATAGACTTGGCAATTATTCTCGAATAGGGATCCAATAACCTGGTAGATTTCAATGCAAACAAAACACAAGCATGCCTTTTCTCTAGAAAAGCCGATCTCACTGTGCCCAACATAAGCTTGTCAGAAGTAACCATACCTTTGAAGAAATCCATTGCGATGCTTGGTATTACTATCAGCAATAACCTTTCTTGGGAAAATCACGTGAGAACAATTGCTAAGAGTGCATCCCAAAAACTTGGTTTTTTGTTTCGGGCCAGGAGCTATTTCACTTCCAGTCAGCTGCTTATGATCTATAAGGCACAGATCTGACCTGTCCTAGAATACTGTTCCCATATTTGGAGTGCAGCACCCAAACATACCCTGAAACTGTTGGATTCTGTCCAAAAAAGGGCAGTTCGTCTCGTCAGTGATACCTCGGTCACAAACTCACTCACTTCTCTGGAACACCGTAGAAAAGTTGGCGATCTGGCTCTATTTTATAGATATTTTCATGGACGATGCTCTTCTGAAATATCAACAATTGTTCCTCCCTTGGCAGTCCCCGCGAGATTAACCCGTTGAGTTGAGGCTTCGCACCCCTTCGTGGTCACTTTGGAGACCTGCAGAACATTTCTTTCCAAAGACTCGTTCATCCAACGAACAGCGAGGCTCTGGAACACATTGCCAAGGGAGGTGTTCCTCGAGGCATATAACCTCCAGAAATTCAAGAAGAACACCAATTCCAACGTTATTTCCCTTGGTTCTTTGAACATTACAGGATATTCCTTTTCGTGGGAACCAGAACATAAAAAAACACATACATTGGGACAATATCATTTACAATACCACATTTTTACAGAACTGATGATCCTTGTATGTATTGTTTTGAATCTATTTTAGTCATTTTACCTTATTGTCAGTTATTTTTCGTATTTTCCGTGTATTTTGACCTGTCCGAAGGTTTTTGTAAGCTCGTTTTAATGGATCAATAAAACTACTACTATACTACTACTACTACTACTACTACTGTATTTCTAGTATTTCTGTTTCAGTCCTGCACCGACATGATAATGCCGATGTGCTCCACCAGCTTCGACATGTTCGAGGACGAGCCGTGGGACTTCGATAAGTACTCCGATGACTGCTACAAGAAGTTCTCCGTGCGTCCGCGCAACGAGCAAGTCCCGCTCCTGGAGTACGGCGGCAAGGACATCAAATCCGCGTCGGACATCGTCTTCAGCAACGGCCTGATGGACCCGTGGTCCTCCGGAGGCGTGCTGAGCAACGTTTCGGACCGCATCTCGGCCGTCATCATACCCGACGCGGCGCACCATTTCGATCTGCGCGGAGCGAACGCCAATGATCCGGGGTCGGTGAGGGAAGCCAGGAGGTTCCACGTGAAGCGGATCCACAAGTGGTTGAACAAGTTCTATTTCGAGAATTTGGATGATCCGTTGAAGTACAAGTTTTATGAGACGAATAGAGTCTGAGCTGTGAATTTTCAAATGTTCGCTTTTTTTTCATAGGGAATTTATAACACAATCTTTTCATAATTGGATTGAAGCAAAATGTGTTATAGTTCTTTCTTCGAAGAAATCAATAGGCACCAGAAAAAAATCGAATAGGTATGTACAGGGTGGGCCAAAAAGTCCTGTTTCCGTACAAGATAGAGAAAAACTGATGTCGGTGCCTGTTGATCTATCCACATGACAAACTCGAAGGTGAAAACCGCATATCGATATCTATTTTTATTTCAGAGTTGCAAGGTGTTTTTCAAAAATGTGAATGTTTGAAAAGTGGCTAAAACTCTTCTTTTTGGCAAATGTTCTTCGTTTTCATGAAAACATTTTCAAAGCATTGTGTTTGTCATGAAAATTGACACCGTATACCTAGTTGCAAAATAGAACTTTTCTTGCAAGAAGAACAAGTTATATTCTTAAACTAGATATAGGAAGGCCGATTTCATTGCTTCGAGAACAATTTTCATCACAAACTCAATGCTTTGTGGTTTTTTTCATAAGAACAGACAATTTTTGCAAAAAAATAGTTGTAGCCACTTTTCAAAAATGCCCATTTTAGAAAAACACCTCCGAAACGAAGACAGATATCGATATTCGGATTTCACCATTGAGTTTTTCATGAGAATGGACCCTCATGCACCGACATCAGTTTTCTTCCATCTGGTTCGAGAATAGAGCTTATTTCCCTTTAAGTGTCCAATTTAGCCCCACCCTGTACATACTACACATACATCTTTCATGAAGTTGGCATCATATTATTATGATATGGAAAAAACTTTTAATGACTCGCTGAATGTCAAAAATCACATTTTTTCAAATTAATCGTTTATTTGTTAGACTTTCGAAAAAGTTGTGTGAGAAAAGTTGTTTATCTTCCAATTTTAAACATGTGTTTCGAATTTGAACATGCTATTGCAACTTTTGGTTCCTGATATTTTTTTTGATTTCTTCTAATTATTGTAACTTTGACAAAACTGTCCTAAACTTTGGCTACATCAGATACAAAAATTCTAGTCTGATGATATTCTGATGGATGACTATGGCATCCTTTTGATACTGAAAAAATCAATTTGAATGAATCGTGATACATCAACTTTGCATCAAACTTAACCGAAATTTGAAGCAGGAATTATTATTTTCTGAAGAGAATCATATTTTTCTCGACAATTAGTGATGGAAAGTTGTATTAGCATGATAAAGCTACTAAAATGAAATCGTTTTGTCGGTGTTAATTTTTTTTATTACAGAGAATTCCTAGAAATTAAAAGAATACCTAGGTAACAAGAACTAAAAGTTGTTATAGAACGTTCGACTCCGAGACACATACAGTGTGACCCACTTCTAATGGCACACCCCTGTATATCTTACGTAATCGTTGGGTAAGGATCCTGAAATTTGCTGGAGCGAGAGATATACCAAAAATGCACTACTCTATGACCAAGTGGGGTCATCTTCAGTGATATTCACTGCTCGTCAACCGCCATGGAACCACCCCAATTTCCGGAAAATGATATTAGAAGTTAAAATAGGTTGAAAATCACTTCGGATTCGGAATCAAGAGGCCCAATCCACTAGCTATTCATAGTTTTCCTAGAAAATTTTCAGTTCAGAAAAATCAAATTTTGTCCCACTTCTCATGGAAGCACCATCGTATCTTACGTTATTATTGAGGTAGTGTTCTGAAATTTACAGGAGGAAGGGAAAGTCCAAAGATAAAGTCAATTATGTAAGATACGGGGATGCTTCCGTAAAAAGTGCGACAAAATTTAATTTTTCAGAAAAAATATGAATAGTTAGTGAATTTTACGGAAATTGGGGTGGTTCCATGGCTGTTGGCGAGCAGTGTATATCACTGAAGATGATCCCACTTGGTATGTCTCTCGCTCCAGCCAATTTCAGGATCCTCACCCAACGATTACGTAAGATACAGGGGTGTTTCCAATAGAAGTGGGTCACACTGTATGTAAAATTGAAATAGAAACAACTTTTCTCTATGAACGGTCTTGAAATTGAAACAAACAAGCCTATTTTCCACGATAAATTTAAAAAAAAAAACTTTTGACGTGTAGCGGAGGTCACGTGACTTCGACCATGTAGTCTAATTTCCATATTTTTTAAGCAAAACTTTTTTAAAGCGAAAACTTCGAAATAAATTATGATTAACTTTCTACCCATATAATTCCAATTCCAAAATACGCATAAAAAATTCATGTTTTAGTTCTCAATATTGGTACCTAGTTGAATTATTGTTGTATGCATGGGAAAATTAGAATAAGATCAGTGTTTGAATATTTTTGTTTTGTTTATCAAATAATATCGATAATAATCGATAATATCAATGATACCGATAATATCAATATCGCCCACTCTTATATAGTCCATAGTCCATTCCAACTAAGAATACAGCATTGGAAAATCATAGGGAAGCGTTGATTGGTTAATATTGAAGGCAATTATTACCATATTATGACATACGACGTGGCGTAAAGGTTAAAGTTTGCTGTATAAAAAAAATTTCAAATCATCCCAGACAGCACTGAATATTCCTAGAATATTCTCTAAATTTGCTTAAAAGGAGGAATATATTTCGAATATCCACCTGCTCTGGGTACCTATATATATGTTTTTATACGAGGTGCTCCAACTGACTAGATCGACTACACGCACGATGTTCTTCGAACATTGTAGGAATTTATCTTCGTGCGTTCCAAGAGATGAAAAACTAGTCAGAATCACCTCGGTTACCTCAATCTACCGTCGGCCAATTGCCGTCACCTTGTATATTTATGAAATTGTGCCCATTTTTTTCATAAAAACCTATCTACTCTAACGTACGAAGGCCTGGAAGGGACACATAAAATAAAAAAAATAAAACTCTCCTAAATTCTGAGTTATAACTCGGAATTTTAAAATTCCGACTTATATCTCGGAATTTTACATAAAAAATTCCGAGTTATAACTCGGAATTTTGAAATTCCGAGCAATAAGTCGGAACTTTGATGTAAAATTCCGAGTTTTGGATGTAAAATTCCGAGATATAAGTCGGAAATTTAAAATTCCGAGTTAAAACTGAGAATTTTGAAGAGTTATTTTTTTTATTTCATGTGTCCCTTCCAGGGCTTCGTATGAAAGAAATAACAAACGGCGGAAAACCCATCAAGTTCATGTTCCTCTCCCAACTAAACCCCCTGTATGGTGAAGTATGTGTGCGCTCTTAGCAGGTGAATAGTTTTCGGCCTTGGCAGGTTGAAATGTGAGAAAATCATCAATGGGAGGATAGGTGGTTTAGGTTTGGTAGGAGTTCAAAAAGTTTGGCGCTTTATTCTCAGCTAACCATTGGCAGAGGGGTACTCAAACCACTCCTCTTGAACCGGAGAACGGTGCAGCGTTGTCTACATGTCGAACATTTCGTAAATCCTCACGATAAAAAAATATATACAGGGTGAGTCAGTTTTTTGCAGCAGAACATTGACAGCTTGAAGAACACATATTTTCAAGAAGAAAAGTTCATGTCACCATATATGCGTGGGAGCTTCGTTTCCGATATACAGGGAGTCTGAAGTTTGAGATGTTTTCATGTTTTTCTAGTTTTCTCCTACAACTTTCAAAATAATGAATTGAAATTTTCTATACCTACTACTATACTTGAAAAACTGAATATCCAGGGCTATTAGGCGATTTCGATTACCTACAGGGTAATAACACTTCTAGGGGTTGTGTTGTGCCCAATGGGGAAGACCACTGAGAGAAGAAATCTGTGCAAACCTCTTTCAATCGACGAATCATGATTTACGTTTGATGTACAATCAATATTATGAGTTAAAGTTGAAGGGAATCGAATCTATATCGTTTTGAAATCAGCATATTTCATTCGATATTTCAAACAGCCAAATATGATGGTGGAGTCGTGACGTATTAGTCCCGAACTCTCTCTGATACCTCGTCATTCTGCAGTGTTGCAGTGTGATTGGTCAGTTCAAGGACAATAGGCGTGTTGGGAATAAGACGTCGCACCAGTCACACCAATGAATTGACAAAATTTCAAATGGCGCAGGAATTGTGTGTTTTGAAATGGGCATATTCTAATTTATTTTTTCCATCGTCTTAGCATGAATGACAAAATTCAAAATTAATTCGCTGGTAGTTTTTCATTATAGAGTTCACGATAATGTCATTTTAAAAAATCAGTGGTCTCCCCCTGACCCTCTTGAACTTTTCTGCGTGCTGCCTCCGCTTTCAATGAAACATTAATTCAGAATCTCTGTTTTATCTGCAACCTTTTTGCTATCTCATATGTTTTTCGAAAACTGTATGGATTTCGAGATATAAATGCCAAAAAATGATTTATTTGTGATAAAACTTGGTTTTTCGAAGACACTCTATTTCACATTTCTTAATAATCAACTCAAAATAGTATCTTCTTCAAGATGTTGAAGTCCTACTAGAAAAAACTGACTCGCCCTGTATATTTGAGAGGAAGGTTCAAAAAAATGGGAAAAAGTATATTTTCAACTGGTGTTTCAACACTCCCGAGACTCTTACAAGACAGTTGACATTTCCAAGGTTGTGAATATTCGAAAATTTTCTGAAGGAGTTATGAGGAAAATATGATTTTTGTTTGCGAATCATTTCAGCACCTGTGAGAATCTGAATATTTTCGACACATTTCTGAGACTTTTGATCCAATATTTCAAGGGTTATTACCCGTTTGACACAAAAACATGAAATAAAGAAATAATATACAGCGTGTCTTACTTTAAACGCCCCCCCCTCTATATCTCAGTTATTAGTCATGCGATTCCAACCAAATTTGGTGTGGTATGAATAACCATCAATATGATCAGTTTTACAGAGATGCACATCATTTTGGACAGTGCCGTGCGTTTTTATTGAACTTAAAAGGGGTCGATTTTTCATAAAATCATATTAGGCATTTTTTTACAGGAAATTTAACCTCATATTATTGTTGCTCATGCTTTCGAACCTCCATATGCAAAAAACACCTTATTCCGAATTAACAGGACTGGCTTCATTTTTTTCATTTTCAGTCTCGAATAAATAGTGATTTCAAATCAACTACGAATTTTGGATTCAATGGCTCCGGTAGGTGGAAAATCATGATTTGAAAGGAAAAACGAGTTTTTATGTTGAACTCACCGTTTCCGAGTAAATAATTATTACGCTCCCAAAAATGCTGTTTAGATGTGCCTGTTTTTCTGAAACCCTTCATAAGCATCTTATGAAAATCCACATATGTGGATTTGAAACCATATGAAGAACAATATTATGAGGTCAGTTTTCCTGTGAAAAAATGTCTATGATTTGATAAAGAACTGACCCCTATTCATCTCGACAAAAATACACATACCGATACAAATTTCGTAAAGATCGCACGACTGATAGCTGAGATATAGAGGGGGGAAATGAGACACGCTGTATATACCTGTTCCAGAAACCGTGTTGCAGAGGACAATAAAAAATATATCGCTGATGGATGAAACTTGATTGGGACAAAATAACATCCCTCTGACATCGCAGCGACGTCTATGCGACATCATATAATGCGCTATCGCAGATCACAATTGTCACATCGCTGCGATATCTCTGTGATTGCATTTCCGGACGTATGAACGTAGCGTCTAAGAATCACCGAAAAATTGACCGCACATCGCACAGTTAAATAACACCCTCTATATATTTTTATAGCGGATGTTCGTTGGAATAGTGGCCAAGGAGACCTGGCAACGCCGGTTGGTTCTTGAGTAACCATTCGAAGCGGCAAGATCGTTAGTCGGAATATAGTCGGTATTCCGTTACAAAAATGTGAGTTCATTTGTTGTGTTGAGGAGTGCGTGAGTGCGTGCCAAACAAACGAACTTTTGAAACCACCATCGAATGAAAAAATAACCCGACAGGTTACGGGGCGGTCAGACAGAGCAGCCCGCTCGTTTTGGAATCCCGAAGGTATGTGAGAATTGATTTAGTGACCTTTGAGCCACGTATTATGCGCTGATGTATTCTACCTGATACAGGCAGCCTCCCGAGGAATCTCGATGTAGGTATACAATTTTTACCTGGTTTTCAATTACTATACTACGCCAAGATTTACAGGTAGGTAGAGGCACAGTACCTACCTATAAGGTGGTCCGTGTTCTAGAAAAAAACTTTTTTTTTAATCAGTGACACATTAGGTATTCAATATATGCCCACAAAAATGTCCATATTATAGATGTTTTTTTTTCATTGAGAACACGTTATATTTAGATTAGTGTGTTTTAATTTGCCCAAGAATTAACACAGCCAAACTTGTTTTTTAATTAATTCGGTGCCAAGTATTGCCTAGATTATCATCCTTGTATAAATCATTCAAGGCATTCTGGTAGGGTTTATGAACCTAATTGTTGTGTTATCACGATTGTAATTGTTTATTCTAAATATAATCATAATCTCCACCAGGTATTTTTTCTGATAGATTTTTCAATTTACATCAGGGTGTTTCAGATTTTAATCTGGAAAATTCGATAGACAGGTGTTCTCGCAAAAAGAAAAAGAAAAGTTCATGTAAACTTATTGTATGTTTTGAAGCTTAATTTTCGAGATACAGGGTGTTGATGTTACTAGTATTGTTCGCCACCTTGTATCCATAATGCCAAAATTGAGTGTCACAGACCGACTGACAAATTCTCAGAAATATACTTTATTATAGCTATCTAGAGATCTCAATGGATGTCTTGAAAGAACGTCTCAACTAAGCAAGATAAGTACGAATAAACTCATGGAAGAAGAAAGTCGTATCTTCTATTGTTAAATCCATGGACAATAAAAAAATTGGAAAGAGATAATGGAGCACAATGATTTTTCCATAAATATCAATGGGGTGAAATTGAAATAATTACGGTAAATTTAGTTAGGCCGAAAGAAAAATGTCCATATTATATACGAACAAACTTGCTAAGGTTAAAGAAAATCAGCTGAGTTTTTGAGCTGTGAATGAAAAACGATTTTTCCCAAAAAATGTTCAACACCTTGTATGTATGTATGTAGGAAACGAAGCTACCGGATCACAATCTGAAATACCCTTCATAAAAGATAAATTATGTAAACAGAACAAACGAAAACCTATCTTCAAGATCAGGGTAGTCCGAGGGGTAGTCTAACTATACCATTGATATATTTATCGCAAAAATTTTCTCCATTTTTGTTTTTGTTTTATTTACTTATTTATTTTATTTACGGGAAACCCCTATTACCAGTTCAAGTAGTACAATATGAATATAATAAATATACACCGTGTCTTAACACCGACCTTGACACATACTTATAAATTATCGAAAATAAGAAAAAAATCATGAAACGAAATAGGAAAGTAACACTTGAATCACCTCGTGAATTACATACGAGTAGGTAGGTATTGAAAAACGTTTATACACTATCACGCAAACATCTTAAACTTATTAAATGAGCATCCTAATACATCTGAATTGATGTTTTTTTTTTTAATTTTTATTTAAAATTTTCGATATTACAGTAGATCTTTATCTAGATCTGTATTGAGTGTGGAAAATCCGTGGAAAATCGAACCTTTAATTTCTTCATAATCCGATTTCCCCTTTTAGGTACCTATTGGAGCAAAATCCATTTAAACGTTCGGAAGATATAAAGGGATTACGTGAAATTGTTCGGAAATTTAAAAAGTTCAAAGATGGTCCGGTTCAATATTAACAAAAAAAAAACAATATAGTAGTCTAGGTAGCAGTAA